GGTTTGGGGAGGGGAGGGGAGGGGAGGGAATGCCGCAGCACCCACCTTCCGAAGCAGCCATTTTTTTCAGAAGAACTGAGCTTGATTTATTTATTTTATTTATTTCTTAAATTTCTACCCCGCCCTCCCACCGAAGCAGCTCAGGGCGGCTTACAAACAATTTAAAACCAACATACAGTTAAAACCAACAATCACACCTATAAATACAACACCATAAAATCTGGAAATCAGTCTGGAAATCAGTCATAATAGCAAGAAATCTCCAGTTCCCACCTGGAGGTTGGCAACCCCAGTATGGAGGGATTTGAGAATACCGACTTGGGTGGAGGTTAAGTGAAGGGTACTGAGACCTAGCACAATGGCCAGAGTTCCTCCCAAAGACCCACCCAACGTACTTACCTGGCTATAAATTGTCTGTTGCAGCTTCAGCCCCCTTTCGTGCAGCTGGAGCTACAAGTAAACACAGGAAAGTACCAAAATAAAATTTCCCCCCCAGACTGTTATTACAGGGCTTCAACTTTTCCCCTCTCCCTCTCTCTCAAAAAGATTTCAGCAGCAAATTCTACAAATAAATTTAGCCGGTAAATGGCACAGTGAGCAAGAGGCGAAGATGATTTTCCAAGATGATAAAATAGCAAATGTTCACCTCCCGGGAAAATTCTACGCCACAGTCCCCAACACGGTGCCCTTGGGTGCCGTGGCCACCAACCGATACCTTTCCTGGTGCCAGCCAAGTGTTATTAGCAGGGGTCATTTCCTGCAGGAGCGCACAGGAGCGGAGCTCCGGCAGTAAAGAGCCCAGGGGGCGGGCACATGCAACAAGCCCCACCCCCTGCTCCCAGCAGCCCTCAGTCAGAGCAAGGAGCAGCCAGGTAAGTTGCAGAGCTCCCCCCCCCCGGCTCCCTGGCCCAAAACAGTCCAGTGGACCCTTTAAGACCAAGTTTTATTCAGGTACAAGCTCTCCCTCCTCTGCGAGGACAGATCTGCACATTTCCCCCCCCCCCAGCAGCTAGCAATCCAAAACAGTCCAGTGGAGCCTGAGCGGTGGGCGTTGCCTTCTGACACACTTCCGGTGATGTCAGGGGGTGTGGCATATGCAAATCAGTTATGCTAATGAGTTATGCTAATGAGCTACGAAATGACCCCTGGTTATTAGCAAGTAAGCAATGCCCGGTGGGCCTTTTGTCCAGCAAAGGTTCTGACTGGCCACTGGAGATTTGATCGGCTGTGCAGATTTTCTAAAAACATCACTTGGGCGGCAGCTGCCACCACAGCCCGAGGAGCTTCACTGTGGCAGCCATTTGGTGGCTGGCTCCACCTCCTGAAGGAACTCTTTTGTGGCAGGCGTGGCCGCGTCCACCACACTGTGTCAGAATTTGAAAGGTGCTTGCAGGCTCAAAAAAGGATGGGGACCGGACCTCTCCTCTGCCAGGTCCATAGCTACAGTGGGGCTTTTGGGGGCTCCGCCCCCTTTCTTAAAGGCACAGCCCCACAAGAATTTCTCCTGTAAATGCTTTCTTCAGTCATTTTTAAACTTTTTTTTTAAAGGCATGCACTCTCTTAAGCAGAGTGGGGTGCTGCAGTTGACTAATTCCCCCACTGAGCAAAGGGGTTGGAGTGGGTGACCTCTAGGATACCTTTTAATTCTGTGTCAAGAAACTGGTCTCTCTGAAGAGAGCTTTCTCTGCCTAAGGGTTAGCTTTCTTGACTAGAGAAGTCATCACCCCCACCTGCCGGCTTGTGATCAAAACGGTTGCTTTGGCTGGCAGAAGTGATTATCTTGCAGCAGCTGAGAACTGTCGTCTAAAGTGGTGGACAGCTTGCAGTTTAGAGCTCTATCCTGGTAACAGCTTTTTATTGGCCAAATGCCTTTTCTTTCTGCACTGAGGACTTCGGCCCCACCAGAAAAAAACAAAACTGCCCCACAAGCCACAGAATCCTGGCTACGGGCCTGCCCTCTGCACAACCCCTTTCCTCGAAGCTGCCAAGTACTGCAGTCTGAACACATTATTCACTCAGAATGGCTTCCGTGCAGACTCTCAGCTGCCGCCAGACCCCGTCCGCACCTACCATCGCTTTGATGGCTGCCGTCCTCACTCGAGGGTCCTGGTCGTTGAAGTGGTCCCCTATGATCTTCTGGACATCTCTGGCAGGCTGGCCTTCTCCTTCTTTCGAGGCGCCTTTCTCCATGCTCCCGAGGAAGCCGATCAGCAGCAGGCATTTGTTCCGCACGCCATGGGAGGAGTCGGTCAGATGCTGGAGGACCAAAGGGACGACGGCCTAAACACTCGGGGTAAAATCGATAGGCGCGTAACGGAGCTTGGGAGTGAGGGCACAATGACGACTGAGGGCCATGTGTGGTAACTAAAGGGGCCAAGGGAGGCGAGGGTTACTGGACCCAGGAACGCATTACAGGCAGTGTTCCCTCTAAGCTGAGTTAGTGTGAGCTAATCAGCAGCAGGCATTTGTTCCGCACGCCGTGGGAGGAGTCGGTCAGATGCTGGAGAACCAAAGGGACAATGGCCTAAACACTCGGGGTAATATCGATAGGCGCGTAACGGAACTTGGGAGCGAGGGCACAATGGCGACTGAGGGCCATGTGTGGCGGCTAAAGGGGCCAAGGGAGGCGAGGGTTACTGGACCCGGGAACACATTACAGGTGTCTCTATACCAGCGCTAGAAGTCTCCGAGCCAAGACGGGGGAGCTGGAGCGCTTGGGTGTTCAGTGACAATTTAGATCTAGGAGGTATCTCAGAAACATGGTGGAATGGGGAAAATCTATGGCAGAGGTGTCGAACTCATTTGTTACGAGGGCCGGATCTGACACAAATGTCATTTGGTTGGGCCGGGGCATGTGTGCCATAAAACCTGTATAAATGACAGCAGCTGGTAAGCGAGTTGTTGTATCCTCACTGCAAGGCCCCATGGGCTGGGAGGGGGGTGCAGAGGAAAACCCACATGGGCGGACTGGAGAGCCAGCGGTGCAGAAATGGGCAGACGCTCCCACGCTGCTTGACTGTGCAGACGAGGTCGTTCCGCCATGCTGAAGCCACAATCGGAGTGGCTCCACCCACTCCTCCCGAGCACTCTCCTGTTCCCCTCCTTGCACTAGTTGCTCGCAGGCCACACTGGAGCCCTGGATGGGCCAGATCTGGCCCCTGGGCCTTATGTTTGACACCCCTGATCTACAGGATACAGTTATTCTTGGGTATAAGCTCTATAGGCAGGACAGGGATGGATGGGTTGGTGATGGTTGCGTTGTACATCGAAGAGGGCATCGAATCAAATAAGTTAGAAAACTTCAGGGGAATTGACTCCCCAACAGGAGCAATATGGGTGGAAATACTGGGCCCTAAGGGTTACTTAAATGTGGGGTCTTGGCTTTAAAAGAATTCAAAACTTCCTTAAAAGAGGACGAGGAGGAGGAGAAAAAGGGGGGAGGAAAGGGAGAAGTTGAAGAGGGAGAAGAGGAAGAAGTTGAAGGAGACGGAGGGGGGAAAGCAGGAGAAGAGGAAGAGGGAGAAAGAGGAGGAGGAGGAGGGAGGAGAGGGAGAAGAAGTTGGAGAGGGAGAAGAGGGAGAAGAAGTTGGAGAAGACGGTGAAGGAGAAGGAGAGGAAGATGGAGAAGAAGTTGAAGGAGAGGGAGAGGGAAAAGAGGGAGAAAAGGAAGAGGGAGAAAGAGGAGGAGGAGGAGGGAGGAGAGGGAGAAGAAGTTGGAGAGGGAGAAGAGGGAGAAGAAGTTGGAGAAGACGTTGAAGGAGAAGGAGAGGAAGAGGAAGAAGAAGTTGAAGGAGGAGGAGGAGAAGAAGGAGAAGGAGGAGGAGAAGGAGAAGAGTTGGGTTTCATTCCCCGCCTTTCTGCTACCTGTAGGAGTCTCAGAGCAGCTTACAATCGCCTTCCCTTCCTCTCCCCACAACAGATACCCTGTGAGGTACGTGGGGCTGCGGGAGCCTTCTGTGACTGAACCAAGGTCACCCAGCTGGCTTCACAGGGAGGAGGAGTGGGGAATCAAACCCAGTTCTCCAGATTAGAGAGTCCGCCACTCTTAACTGGTACACACCACATGTTTTTAAAATCAAAATAAAATAGATTAATTGAAATGGAAATAAAATCCATTAAGCTGGCTGGCAGCCTCGCTTACCTTGCAGGCGACGTCGACCAGGCGCGACCGGACCGCCGGGCTCTCTTGCAGCTTCATCCCTATTGCCAGCAGAGAATCCAGCAGCTGCGCCAGGACCTGGTGGGATTCTGAAGAGCGACAAACTGTGACTGTAATGATTCCATGTTTTGGTGTGTGTGTGTTTCTTTAAATGTTTAGTGTGACTGCAGTAATGTAAGGAGAGTGACAGAGGGAGATAAGTGTGATGTGATTGGCTGATGACTGAGAGTGTGGGAGGAAGGGTGTCTATGAGAGTGATTCTGTGTTCTTGAAGAGATGAGTGTGGGGAGTTTTTGTGAGAGTCTGTATGACAGAGGAAGCAGTTGGAGTTCAGCCTGCGTGGCTATGAGCAAGAGTTTAGCCTGCGTGGTTATGATAAAAGAGAGTTTAGCCTGTGTGTCTAAGCCTGTCAGAGTAAAGTTTTGGTGTTTGAGAGACTGTGTGTGACGCCAAGCTTTGTCAATTATATTTTCTTTCTTCAACATCAGTTCAAAAAACACCCAGAAACCTATTTTGTTCATTAATAAATAAATCATTATTTGTTTAAACTTATTGCAGAAATCAGAACAGTCCTTCCTCAGGGCCACATAGTCCTCTGAAGCGCCCAGACACTGGGCCACCCTACCAAAATAGAGAGATTTGGAATTTTTAATTCCTGGTGGCAGCGGAAATCTACCAAGTTCATGTACACAGAGTGTGTTTTAAAGGAGAAACCGTCTCCCCAATAAGCAGTGGATCATTGACAGTCACAAAAGGCCAAGAAGGAAGAATGCGGGAGGTAAAGAGGGAATAGAACAGAAGAAGAGAGGCGACTTCTGACTAGGGGGCCGGAGCGCCTCCCCTAAGAGGAAAGGCTGAAGAGCCTGGAGCTTTTCTGTTTAGGAAAGAGACGATTAAGGAGGAACGCGGTAGGCATACCACTGCACCCACCTCAAGAAAGAAAGAAAAAAATGCTGTTGTTACCTCCATACCTGAGAGGAGACAAATGGGGAATCTCAGTTTACTTCCCACAATTAGAAAAGACGCCTTTACACATTTACCCCCTATTTTGACGTATTTGCTTTGCTGTCCTTTCCCCGCTTAATTGAATCAAAACAACTGTTGACCTTATAACCTTAGCTTGTTATTTAGTTCTGTCTTTGCCTATCTTAAAACATCTTCATCGTGTTACATGTCAATTTGCTGTTCAGCCCTTGTCTATAAGTTTGAACTCTAGCTTCCTTTCCAGTGCATTTGGAAAAAGTGTGCCTGCACACGAAATCTCATACCTCGAATAAACCTTTGTTGGTCTTAAAGGTGCCACTGGACTCTACATTTGTCCTACTGCTTCCGACCAACACGGCTGACCACCTGAAGCACGAGACAACGCATCCTCCTGGACTGAATTGAGACCTAGGTTTCCTGTCTCATTACTGATGCTGACTCCCCACGCCTACCTCTGCGTATCACACCTAATCCAATCATGCCTGCTATTGTCATTTGTCCGCTAATGTCATTCAGCATCCGAAACCACTCCACTTTCCAATAAATAGGACAGATGGATTCCCATTCTCGCCATATCTGAAGAAGTGAGCAGTGACTCATGAAAGCTCCCACCCTGCCACCAATTTGGTTCATCTTGAAGGTGCTGATGGACTCTTGCTCTTTTCTGCTGCTACAGATAGGCTAACAGGGCTCACCATCTTGATCTTCTGCATGTCAGGCAGGGGGTCTACCACTGAGCCCTTCCCTTCTACATGCAAGGCAGAGGTGCCCTACCACTGAGCCACAGCCCTTCCCCACCTTGTATTTTGTTTTGAAGTAGAACACACAAAACATTTCCATAAGAGCTGGGAGAATTCAAATCCGGCACCGGATTTGGCGTGAAGAAAAATAACAGCCACGTACTCTCGTTCTGAAGAGTGTTAATGGCGTCGTCCAGAATGCAGTCAGGAGAAAACCCGGGGGTCTTGGAGAGCAAACCCAACAGGGAAGCCACCTTCAGTCGGACGGAGGAGTCGTTCTCCTAAGGGGACACAAAGGGACACAGATAACGCCAACCTCCCCACTCCTGCTCCTGCCCTACACAGCCTGGGAGTTCGGGGCAGATTATTCACTGGGCATTTCCGTCATGATGTTTCCTTAAAAGCACAAGTCTGAATGACATACGGGCTGAAGTCTTCTTCTTCTTCCTCCCCCCCCAATGAGGACCCAAAGCGGTTTATATCATTCTCCTCTCCTTTATTTTAGAGAAGAGAGCAGAGAGGAAGAGACTGGATTTATGCCCCCCCCCTTCACTACCCGAAGGAGTCTCAGAGCGGCTTACAGACTCCTTTCCCTTCCCCTCCCCACAACAGACACCCTGTGAGGTAAAAGAAGAAGGAGAAGAGATTGGATTTATACCCCGCCCTTCACTCCCCAGAGGAGTCTCAGAGCGGCTGACAAATTCCTTTCCCTTCCCCTCCCCACAACAGACACCCTGTGAGGTAAAAGAAGAAGGAGAAGAGATTGGATTTATACCCCGCCCTTCACTCCCCAGAGGAGTCTCAGAGCGGCTTACAAACTCCTTTCCCCTTCCCCTCCCCACAACAGACACCCTGTGAGGTAAAAGAAGAAGAAGAAGAGATTGGATTTATACCCTGCCCTTCACTACCCGAAGGAGTCTCAGAGCCGCTTACAAACTCCTTTCCCTTCCCCCTCCCCACCACAGACACCCTGTGAGGAAGCTGTGGCCGAGATAGCTCTTTCGAGGACTGCTGCTGAGAGAACAGCTCTGAGAGAACTTGTGACTGACCCAAGGTCACACCAGCAGCTGCGTGTGGAGGCGTGGGGGGATCAAACCCGGTTCTCCCAGATTAGAGTCTGCCGCTCTTAACCACTACACCAAACTCGCTCTCTCACAATAACCCTGTGAGGTGGGTTACAATGAGCGTGTGGGTCTGGTCCAGATTCACCTGTGTCATAGGATCTTAGCACAACTGAAGCACTTCCCATACCTTATAAAAATGCTCCAGCAAGACCCGGATGACGCCTTCCACGCTTTCGGACTCGACAGGCTTCCTGGCAAATTGCAGTAGGTACTGGAGCGCGTCGGCAGGCAAAGTGGCCTTGCAGAGGTCCACGTGGAGGGCAGCAGACTTGCTGGGCTTGGTCAGCCGGAGTTTCTTCGCCGTGATCTCTTCATGCTGCTGTTGCTGAAAGGACAAAACACAAGCGTCCGGCTGAGTTCACACAAAAGTAAGGCCAGTGGCAGTCCTGCCGGGGGGGGGGGGGGGGGGGGTTTGGGGGGGGGGGGGGGGGGGGGGGCAGTGTCTTTGTAAGGATTACTCAGGAGTAAGCTTCCTGTTGACGTTGCACAAAATTGTGTCATGTTGCACGATATTCTTACCCGCCCAGGGAAAGGGCGATCGCCACTTCAAAGAGAGAGAAGAAGAAGAGATTGGATTTATACCCTGCCCTTCACTACCCGAAGGAGTCTCAGAGCGGCTTACAATCCCTTTCCCTTCCCCTCCCCACCACAGACACCCTGTGAGGTAGGTAGGGCTGAGAGAGCTCTGACAGAAACTGCTCTTTTTTTCAAGGACAGCCCTGACAGAACTATGGCTTGGCCAAGGTCATACAGCAGCTGCAAGTGGAGGAGTGGGGAATCAAACCCGGTTCTCCCAGATTAGACTCTGCACACTTAACCACTACACCAAACTCGCCACTTTGAAGAGAGAGAAAAAGAAGAACGATTGGATTTATACCCTTCCCTTCACTGCCTGAAGGAGTCTCAGAGTGGCTTACAATCCCCTTCCCTTCCTCTCCCCACAACAGACACCCTGTGAGGTAGGCGGGGCTGAGAGAGCTCTTGAGAGAACTGTCCTTGAGAGAACAGCTCTGAGAGAACTTATGAGTGACCCAAGGTCACACCAGCAGCTGCATGTGGAGGAGTGGGGAAATCAAACCCAGTTCTCCCAGATTAGAGTCGCCGCTCTTAACCACTGCACCAAACTGGGGCCAGGAAGCAATTTTTTCCCCAGGCCAGTTTGGCCAGGGATCCTGGAGGGTCCCGTCCCCCCATCTTCTGGGCATGGAGAACAGGTCACTGGGGGTGTGGGGGGGGCAGTAGTGGTGAATTTCCTGCATTGTGCAGGGGGTTGGACTAGATGACCCTGGAGGTCCCATCCAACTCTATGATTCTATGATTCAGCTACAGGAGAAAAAGCATTACCGTAAGCAGGAAGTATCAGCAGCATTCTAGGAAGCCTTAAGAGAGGCCTGCCAGGAGATGAAAACTGGGATAACATGGGATAAGGGAGCTAGCTGCCTTTTAAGTGAACAGGCTGGGGCTTCAAAGGGGGCTCTTGAAACAGAGTTCCAAACCGAGATGGGATACCAAACACCAGCTGGTGTGGCTCAGCGGCGAAGAGCAACAAGCTGTGGTCCAGGAAATCTCTGGTTCAAATCTTGCCACAAAATAGGTTGCCATCCCCTAGACGGGAGCTGGGGATCTCCCAGAATTACAACTGATCTCCAGACGGCATAATTCATTTATCTGAAACATTGATTCCACTTCTCCAGTTTGGTGTAGTGGTTAAGTGTGCGGACTCTAATCTGGGAGAACCGGGTTTGATTCCCCACTCCTCCACTTGCACCTGCTAATGTGACCTTGGGTCAGTCACAAGCTCTGGCACAGCTGTTCCTGAGAGAGCAGTTTGTGTCAGAGCTCTCTCAGCCCCACCCACCTCACAGGGTGTCTGTTGTGGGGAAGGGAAAGGAGTTTGTAAGCCGCTCTGAGACTCCAAGTGAAGGACGGGGTATAAATCCAACCTCTTCTTCTTCTTCTCCTGGAGAAAATCGCTGATTTGGAAGGCGGACCGCACGACGTCATACCCTACCGAAGTCCCTCCTTAAACCCCACTCTCCCAGGCTGCACCCTCGAATCTCCAAGCATTTCCAAACTTGGGAGTTGGCAACCCTAAGAACCATACGTATCTTAGATCAAGATGGGTAGCCATGCCAGTATGGCCCCACTGCTGGACCTCCTGATGGCACCTGGTATTGTTGCTTGTTTGTTTGTTCAGCTTGTTGGCCACTGTGTGACAGAGTGTTGGACTGGACGGGCCATTGGCCTGATCCAACATGGGCTTCTCTCTTATGTTCTTATGTCTGGGGCAAGGGATGCTCTGTATTCCTGGCGCTTGGAGGGGGGGGCAACAGTGGGAGGGCTTCTAGGGTCCTGGCCCCACTGCTGGACGTCCTGATGGCACCTGGTATTTCTGGCCACTGGGTGACACAGAATGTTGGACTGGACGGGCCATTGGCCTGATCCAACATGGGCTTCTCTCTTATGTTCTTATGTCTGTAGCAGTAAGAAAGAGCAAGAGTCCAGGAGCACCTTCAGAACTAATCAAATCTGTGGCAGGGGAGGAGCATTCGCGAGTTCTTAAGAAGTGAGCAGCGACTCACGAAAGCTCTTTTCTACTGCTACGTATTTTAGGTTTTGTTTAGAAAGACCATTAGCAAACTCTGACGCGGTATATGTTGCAAACTGTGTGTGGTACGTATTTAAAACCAAGATGGGTAGCCATAAGTCTGTCTGTAGCAGTAGAAATAGAAGGAGAAATAGAAGGCAAATAGAAGGGGAAGTCGTGGAAGTAGTGACAGACGTCACGTTCCTGGGATCCCAGATCACCGCATACTGTGACAGCAGTCATGAAATTAAAAGACGCCTGCTCCTTGGGAGGAAAGCGATGGCGAACCTAAACAGCATGATAAAAAGTAGAGACATCACCCTGCCAACAAAAGTCTGCATGGCCAAAGCAATGGTATTCCCAGTAGTCATGTATGGCTGCGAGAGTTGGACTATAAGGAAGGCCGAGCGCCGAAGAATAGATGCTTTTGAATTATGGTGCTGGAGAAGACTCTTGAGAGTCCCTTGGACTGCAAGAAGATCAAATCAGTCAGTCCTAAAAGAAATCAACCCTGACTGCTCCCTGGAAGGCCAGATAATGAAACTGAAGCTCAAATACTTTGGCCCCCAAATGAGAAGGGAGCCCTCAATGGAGAAGACCCTGATGCTGGGAAAGATTGAAGGTCAAAGAAGACGTGGACGGCAAAGGATGAGATGGTTAGACAGTGTCATCGATGCAACGAACATGAAGTTGAGCCAACTTCAGAGGTCGGGGGAAGACAGGAGGACCTGGTGTGATCTGGTCCATGGGGTCGCGAAGAGTCGGACTCGACTGTGCGACTGAACAACAACAAGCAGTAGAAAAGAGCAAGAGTCCAGCAGCACCTTAAAGACTAACTGAATTTTTGGCAGGGGAAGAGCTTTTGTGAGTCACTGCTCACTTCTTCAGATACAGCTAGAATGTGAGTCCATCTGTCATATCCCAAGGTCGATGAATTTCCATTCTGTACGGCTAGACGTGGTGCCTTCCATGAAGATAGATCAAGAGGGGTAGCCACAGTCTGTCTGTAGCAGCAGAAAAGTGCCAGAGTCCAGCAGCACCTTCAAGACTAACCAAATTTGTGGCAGGGAAGGAGCTTTCGTGAGTCACTGCTTCTTTAGACACAGCTAGAATGTGAGTATCTGAAGAGGTGAGCAGAGGCTGGAGGACCATCTTTCAGGTACGTTGTAGGTATGCAGGGCTATCTTTCAGCTATGCCCCTGCAGAGTGCAGGGGGTTGGACTAGATGACCTGCAAGGTCCCTTCCAACTCTAACATTCTATGATTCTGTCTCCTGCCATAAATGTGGTTAGTCTTTAAGGTGCTCCTGGACTCTTGGCTCTTTCCTACCGGTACTAGGGTTGCCAGGTCTGCCCTCACCACTGGCAGGAGATTGGGGGGGGGGGTAGAGTTGCCAGATCCAGTTTGAGGAAACATCTGGAGATTTGGGGACGGAGCTGGGTAGGACAGGGACCTCGGCAGGGTGCCATGCCACCCTCCAAAGCATCCATTTTTCTCCAGGGGGACTGCTCTCTCTAGTCTGGAGATGAGCTGGAATCCCAGGGGATCCCCAGGTCCCACCTGGAGGCTGGCACCCCTGAGACTCATCTTAGATTTTTGTTCAGAAACGCAGCTAGCTTAAAGCGGGAAGCCATCAGGGTCTCCCTATTGCTTGGCAGAAGGGAAGCAGAAGCAGCAATTCTGGGATTTGCAACATTCACCTTGTGTGCCTGCTTCTTTCCCCAACCCCCCAGCACTGAACTACAGGCTTCTATCCTCCCCTCCCCACGCCCAGCCTTCCCCCTGCCCGGCTTACCTGGACAACCACTTTGGAGTACTCTTCATAGACTCTCTTCTTCAGGTGCGCCGCCATCGCGGACGGCCCCGAAAGCTCCCTGGGTTCCGTTTTGCAAACGCTTCTGAGCCTCCGCGGCCACCGTAGACGCCCGTCCTTCCAAGCGGACGCCAAGAGACAGGAGTGTTGTTTTCTTCTGAGGCGAGCTAGACCTCACACGACTACTTCCGGTTCCCACTCGCCTTTCAGGACCTTCCTTCATGTGCGGGGCCGAGAGCAGAAGAAATAAATTCAGTGCTCCATCAGAACTGATATAGTGTCAGTTAGCTCACAGTTTTTTAGTCTCCAGCTCGCACAGAGTTTTGCCTTGGCCCAGGAAAGAGGGCTCCAGAGCAAACTAAATGTTTGCAGCAGTAGCCAAATCGCTCGCTCCCAACTTTAATGCCAGTAGCTCACAAGGTGGAATTCTTGCTCACAGGACTCCACAGCTTAGAGGGAGCACTGATAGGGATCCCTGTAACATCTGACAACTCACCAAGGGATTGTAGTTGCTTCTTTTGGAAGTCATCAGGGAGGGGAAAGTGCAAGCTCTACCCTTCCCAAGTCATGATAAACTAGGGTTTCTAAAGGGTTGCCAACTCCAGGTTGGTAAATACCTGGAGGCTCGTGGGTGGGACCTGGGGAAGAGAGGGACCACAGCAAGGTATATTTGCCATACAGTCCAAAGTAGCCGTTTCCCCCCAGGGGAACTGCTCTCTGTAGCTTGGATATCAGCTGCAATTCCTGGGGGGCTCCAGGCCCTCCCCCCCCCCGGAGGTTGGCAAGTTTAGTTGTTTTGTTTTGGATAAATAGAAAAAGGTAAAAGTCGGATCTACATGGATCCTCATGAATTCATATCATTTTTATATTGAAAGGAAATAAAACTACCATCATATTGTAGGCCATGTGTTGATCTACAGGGGGCACCACAAAAATCACGCCATCCACAGATTCGTGGCACCACAACAGCGCAAACACATGGTTCCAAAGCACGGATCCTCATGAATTCATATGATTTTTACGCTGAAACAAAATAAAACCACCATCGTACTGCAGACCATGTCTTAGACTATAGGCAGCACTCCAAAAATCGCACGCCAATTCGGCGGCAGCAGCGTTAACAGCAGCGGCAACAGGGGGGAAGGACCAGTTTAGCCGGAGATCCTGTAGGTTTTTTGCCATCTTCTGGGCGTGGAACAGGGGTCACTGGGGGTGTCTGTGGGGGGGGTATTTGTGAATTTCCTGCCTTGTGCAGGGGGTTGGACTAGATGACACTGGAGGTCCCTTCCAACGCTATAATTCAATCATTCCCTGACTGTCTTCTAGCCTACCAGCCTGCTCCAGGCATGGGGGAAGCCTCCGCCCTGGCTGCATGCAATCTCTGTCTGTCACCTTTCTGGGAAGTCCCTCCTTCTGGGAACAATGTAAACCGCTTTGGATCGCCACCGGGGAGAAAAGCGGAGTATAAATTGAGCTTTTTAAAAAACTAAATAAACATGTCTCTCTCCCCCAAAATGGGGAACTTTTTTAATATATATATCAGCATAAATAAAACGGTCTTCTGTCCCTTCTGACATTCGTGAAGCTGCCTTTGCGGCACGTTAAATTTTATGAGAACCAGTTCTGATTTGGAAACAAACACACGCACACATGCTGAGGGGCAACAAAACCAGTCATTGTTTTATCAGTCTGACTAATAAAAATGTGCTCCGTCAGAAGGAAGCTTTTCAGCACGATCCACTTCGGAGGACTATGTCTCCGTTGAAACTGTAACGGAGTGTACACCTGGAACAAAACTTAATCAGATCTGTTCTTTGAGAAAGCCTATGGGAAACGTGTTTGGAATAAGCTAGCCTTCACGTCAGAGGAAGAAGGAAGATCTGTATGGTGAAAGAATATTTTGTGTAGCTGAAATTTATTTATTTATTTATTTATTTATTATTAAATTTATACCCCGCCCTTCCCCGTAGGGCTCAGGGCGGCTAACAAGGCAAGAAAAGGCTTGCTAATAAAACATCAATACACTAATACAGTTAAAACACCATGTACAATTTAAAACCAATAAAACAATTAAAGTGCTCAGTAACCATAATCCTTCCAGAATCTCAGAACTCAAAGAGGGCGACCACAACCCTAACACAACCCCAACATTCCCAGTAGGCATTGATTAGATGTTAACAGTAGTTTTACCCGGCCTTCTAGCCCTAACCTCCCCCAAGATGGTATATAGCTGGGGGGGGGAGGGGCAGTGGCGGCCCCTTAACCAAAGGCCTGGTGGAAGAGCTCCGTCTTGCAGGCCCTGCGGAACTGCACTAGGTCCCGCAGGGCCCGGATCTCCTCCGGGAGCTCGTTCCACCAGGTGGGGGCCGCCACTGAGAAGGCCCTAGCCCTTGTGACGGCCAATCTAGCATCCTTGGGGCCCGGAACAGTTAGAAAATTCTGGGCCCCAGACCGTAGCGCTCTTGGGGGAACATACAGGAAAAGGGAAATCTGAACATCTAAAGGAGTTGTTCTTAATAGTGTGACTTGGAAATACTATATTCACACTTCTGTACATCCTTTCGTGAGCTGCGTTTGTCTAAGAACCAAAGCTGAGGCAGAGGTTGAAGGGAAAATACCAAACTTTTATTGCCGCAACAAAAGGAAGCCAAAAGCCAGCTAGCTGAGGCATTCCGTACATTCACTTTTAATCCATAACCCCCGACCGCAAGGCCCCTCCCCATTTCTCCATTGGCTGAGATACTCTGGGGTCACACTCCTTCCGATACGCCTACTTCATACCCCCTCAATATATTCCCCCCTCCCCTCATATGCATTGAATGATCATGCTAATAAAGCATTACCCATTCAGGGGTGTGTTAGCTACTATGCATCAGGCGATTGCGTAGGCGCTCTCCTTCGAATCTCCTGACACTTCCCCTACTATGGAGATGCTGTGGTTTCAGTTAAGCCGCGTTTGCAATTTTCTATTTTAGTAAAAGCTGTTTCTGTTGGAGACTGCAACTGCAGTCCCTACAGAGCTCTGTGGTTTTCTGCTAGACCAGTGGTGGCGAACCTATGGCACGGGGGCCAGAGGTGGCACTCAGAGCCCTCTCAGTGGGCACGCGTGGAATCGCCCCAGCCAGGCCCAGACCATCATGAAAGTGTCAAATTCTCTGCCAAATAATTTTAAGTCAATGAAAGCATTTGGGATTGCTTTCCTTACTATGTTTGGATCATCTTAAGTTAATGTAGGAGTTGTTTTTTCTAAAGTAAAACCTCAGTATTCAGGTTAAATGGCCGTGTTGGCACTTTGAGATAAATAAGTGGGTTTTGGGTCGCAGTTTGGGCACTTGGTCTCTAAAAGGTTCGCCATCACTGTGCTAGGCTATAACCAGTGTTCCTTCTAAGCTGAGTTAGTGTGAGCTAGCTCACAATTTTTTAACCTCCGGCTCACACATTTTTGGCTTAGCTCAGGAAGGAGGGCTCCAGAGCAACCTAATTTATGCAGTAGCCAAATCGCTCGCTGACAACTTTAATGCCAGTAGCTCACAAATTAGAATTTTTACTCACAAGACTCCACACCTTAGAGGGAGTATTGACTATAATCTCATTGCCTGTCTGGTTTCATCCTTAGTTATCTGCTTACCCGCAATCATAACTTTCTTTCTCTCACTTTGAAGATATCTTGTGTGATTACCTGTATGGTACAGTCTTTGTGGGCATACAGTATTGCAGTGTGCATTAATTTGTTTATAATGATAATAAATATTTGTATTTCATGTACAGTGTTGGTGCACAGTTCTTTTGAGACCCAGTTTGGTGTAGTGGTT